TTTTTTGTGGAACCTCACATGACCACAGGGAAAGTTATGGATGATCAGCATTTGGAAAAATTGGCCACCTACAAACTTGGATTTTCATAAAATTTTAAAAAGCCTCTAAAAAATATTTTAAAAAACGAAAAATTGTTTTATAATGTCTACAAAGAGAAAATGTTTACAGTTGAAATAGAAGATGGGCTCAAAGCTCTCTGAGAGCCTAGTAAAAAAACAATAGAAAATAAAACTATAAATTTAAAACTAATTTTTTTCTATTGGCTAAAAAGATATTGTATTAATGATTTAGTCCTTTTTGAATAGTTGAAGAGTTTCACAATAGGTGTCACTAATAAAATAATTTAAAATGTTTAAACTATTCATTTAAAGATGTTTAGGCGTACAAAATAAATAGTTAAACTTCTTAAACTTATTCTTAAGAACTACAAGTTATCCCTCAACAATAAGTCATTTACAATCGGAGAAAGGTTAGAGTATAGAATGCTGATAGACATTTTGAAGACCCCTTTTAATTAGACACAAAGGTGAACATGTACATTTATATACGAGGGGGATTATTGTAGACATGATTTACCGAGGAACAGGGATATTTAGAAATATAGAAATAAACTAAATTATATAGAGATGTATATAGAGAGAAACAGGGATATTTAACTAGAAATATAGAGAGAGAAACAGAGATATTTAGCTAGAGATATATATATAGAGAGAAACAGGGATATTTAGAGATATATAGAGAGAAACAGAGATATTTAGCTAGAGATATATATATAGAGAGAAACAGGGATATTTAGAGATATAGAAATAAACTAAACTATTTAGAGATGTATAGAGAGAGAAACAGGGATGTTTAGAGATATAGAAATAAACTAAACTATTTAGAGCTAGATGTATAGAGAGAGAAGCAGGGATATTTAGAGATATATAGAGAGAAACAGGGAAATTTAGAGATATATAGAGAGAAACAGGGACATTTAAAGATATATAAAGAGAAACAGAGATATTTAGAGATATATAGAGAGAGAAACAGGGATATTTAGAGATATATAGAGAGAAACAGGGATATTTAGAGATATATAGGGAGAAACAGGGATATAATGTTTTTCGTATCTAAAATGTAGTATGATGACGGCACTGCAAGGCTTGCAAGATAGATTTTGAATCTAACGCAATACTATGTAAATAAATATACAACTATGAAATTAAGATACTTAAAGAAATCTCAATCAACTCCTTACATTCATTAAACTAATTAACACTCATAACTGCTCATTTGCTTAGAGCAGCGTCAGTGTAGTAAAAACTATTATCTGGTTTGTGACTTTAGCTGGCCTATTTTTAATGTCTAAGATTACTTCAAGAATACTATTTAAAGAATATTTTAATGGTTTAAGTTAGATTAGAAATAAAAATAAGAAATATTTTCGTAGGTTATAGTTATTTTCTTATAAAACATTAAAAATGAATAAAATCAATAATTTCTTGGATTTAAAAATGTTTATTAAGGTAAGAATATACAATTAATAAAGCAAAGTGTTGAGACACCTATTAGCATCTTTCTGAACTAAATAGTTCTCATATTGGGATATAGAATTCTGCTACATCTTTCTTATTAACTATAATTATACCCTTGTAACCTAACACTAGAAGAACGGAGAGGGGGGGGGTTATTTGATCTTGAAGGGGGTGGGGGAGGAAGGAGGGTCATAAATAAGACTGGAAGAGGGTTCATGGGGAGAGTAGAGGAGGGGGTCTGTTGGGAGTTTGAAGGTAATGAAATCTGAGTAAAGGTGCAAGCCAAGGGGGAGGCATATCTTAAACAGATACGTAGATTTGAAATTCATTTTCTAGATATTTAAGCCTCTTTTAACTGGTTCAAAGGAGGGTTCAGCGAGCGGGGGAAGGCAGACAGCCATGAGCCACCGCTATTTCCTCTTCTTTGTCCCATATTAACTTTCTTATCTCCAGGCAGCCATGAGCCACCACTATTTCCTCTTTCGTACTGCACCACATTTAACTTTTCCGGCCAAAACTACTTTTTTAAATGATATATTAAGGGCCTTTTTTTAGTGTGATTTTAAAAAATCCAGCTGTGTCAAGCAAAAAAGCACAACTCAACCCATTTTTTCAATTCTACATAAAATTACTAAAGTGTGTGTTGAATTCTTAAACTGCTTTACAATGAAATAAAATTAAACCACATACTGTCATATATAATATGCTTCCATATCCTATAGCTTCTTACCTAGCTAGATAGATTGATTGATAGATATAGAGATATTAATAGATATAGAGATAGATAGATAGATAGATAGATAGATAGATAGATAGATAGATAGATAGATAGATGGATAGATAGATAGATAGATAGATAGATAGATAGATAGAAGATAGATAGATATATAGATATAGAGATATATAGATAGATAGATAGATAGATTGATAGATAGATAGATATATAGATATAGAGATATATAGATAGATAGATAGATAGATAGATAGATAGATAAATAGATAGATAGATAGATAGATAGATTGATAGATAGATATAGAGATAGTTATAGATATAGAGATAGATAGATAGATAGATAAATAGATAGATAGATAGATATATAGATATAGAGATAGTTATAGATATAGAGATAGATAGATAAATAGTTAGATAGATAGATACATATAAAAATACTAGGCTTTTAGGGCGCTTCGCGCCCATCTTCTATTTCAACTTTTAACTGTGGCTTTATCTCTGAACATCTTCTCATTATACAGTATAAAACAAAAACAATTTCATAATATTTTTTTGCACATTTTCAAAATTTCTCAAAAATAGGGTGACATCATTTGTGAAATAAAAAATATTTATATAGTTTGTTTGTCTACTTTTCTAATTCTACAAGAGGCAAAACAAATTACGTTTCTTAAAATCCATGAAGTTATTTTAGGAAGAAAGATCAATAGGAAAAAGCTAAATTATATAAAACCAGCAAGGGAACACTGTCCAGATTACTCCCGCCGTTTACCCGCACTTAAACAGTTATACCGGGAAACTGAATTTTCGCTATTAAAAATCAACCCACTCCACTTGGAATCTCAAAACCAAGCTAATAACATTTCCGTGGGTCTCCCGAGTTCCCCAATCAAAATTTGAGTCAAATCGGTCAAGGGGTTCCTGGGTTCTGATCGGGCAAACAAACAGACACCAAAACTGAGATTACAACTTTATAAATATAGGTGTTGCACCATTTACAAGCGTAAGAAGTAAGATTATTAGCGATCAGAAGAGATTATTTATACCCCCTTTCATTTTTCACGAACACTCCCTTTGAGACATGTTTCTTTGCTTTATGTAAATATATGTATAAGGGAATTCCCCATGTTTTCTAGATTTCGCCTGAGTGGCCTCTTTTACTATCGCACAGGTAGTGCAGTAGTAAACTGGCTTTGCACAGAGTTAACATCTCCCAGTGTCTTTCCCCAAGACACACTTGTAGTAACATAAACACTTTAACTCATCATATACACATAGATATAAGACAATTTCAAATATATTTTGCTTTTATATATATATATAAAAAAGGATGTATGTGAGTTTTTGTTATGTGATCTCGTTATATAGAAAACAGATTTGCAGCGCAGTTTGTGAAACTGAATATACAGTGCGCAATTGTATAATCTTAAAATATTTTTCCGTAATCATTGCCCTCAAATAAAAGCAACGGAATTGCGCACTTTATCGCACAATTCCGTCCAACTTTCTTGCGTTAGTGTTTTAATTTTTGATAAAATTCAATTTAAACCTCATCGCAATAAATGCAATTGATAATTGCGCAATTCCTTTCAACAACAAAATATTCAATTTAAACTTTGTTAGTGGCATTTCAATCTCAAATTCTAAGATTTTGGATTTAAAGAACCTGTCAAATCTTTCGTTGGGATGTTTAGAAAGATGAAAATTTCCCTGTATGATAATTGAAGGACTGCAGTATTGTTGACGGATAACAGCAACACACTAGACAAATTGGAGTTATAGGCCAGTCAGGATTCTGGTGGGGGATGTTTATTTTCCCCGGACAATTCTTTCCCGGTAGGCCGCAAATACACACACACAACAGAGTAACCCCGTCTCAAGAAAATCGATAACAAAAGCTTTATTTCCTAAAAATAACATAAATTATAGGTCATGGTTATTTGAACAATGTTATAATGAATATTAATAATAGAAAAAATCTTACGATTTATTAAGTTGTGATAGGGGGAGACTTATTGTTGATCAGTATTGAAATACGTTTTTTTAAACTTCTGAAAAATTTAATGAAATTCACTGATGCTTCTTATGAAAATATTCTTGCTTAACTTTAATGATTTCACAATAACGAAAATATTTTAAGCTCCGTAGGACGGAGTACAAAGGGAATGCGGGCTGAAAATTTGGTTTGGCTTTCATTCCAGAGGAGATTCAAGTTGAAGACGACATTGAGCGGAGGTCTTAAAATTAATGGTTAACACTGGCCCCAGGCAGGGTTTGAGGATGTTAGGGTAACATACGAGAATGAAATCATAACCATTAATTTGTTTACAACATTTAGTTTGAATGATTGATAGGTACTAGATTGATTGATTGAAATAAACAGAGCTACTATTACGAGGTACATTAGTTAATACTGTATTAAATAAGCAAATAGATGATGAGATTAAACCGTGGAGTAAAATTGAAATCAAATTGCACATTTGCAAAGTAATTTAAGGAAGAGTTTGTGTTAGCTCTATTGATTGATTTCGTTGAGCTCTGCGAGGATTTCATCCTGTGTGGGTTCCGGTCTGGAACTTGGAGCTAGATTCCTTGCTTCTGTGGAGTCCGAGGTCAGGCTGGGAACCATTTCTTGAGGACACTGAGCTTCTAGGTTCATGAATAGGTAGAGTTGGTTGAGGTGTCTCTCCACTACTATTTTGCGTCCACCTACTTCACGCCGATAGCTGATAGTAGCGCTGTAGACGTCTCAGTTCTTTCTGCAGAGGAGCTGCTCCACCCTGGCAGCTGAGAGTGGATTCTTGTATATAGGTTCATTCTTGAACAGAACTATATCTCCAACCTGAGGGAGGTTGCCCTGGTCCTTCCAGGTGACAGTGAACTTGCGTCTGGTGTACTCTTGCTCCCACAATGAATGGAACAAGTTGAGGACAACATTCCACCTGGAGATCTGTTGATTGATGGATGTTGTAGGATTGACCTCATCTCCGAAACACTCTCGAAACCCATGGAGAACGTGGTTAGGAGTGAGGGTGATTCCAAGTGGTGCTCCAAGGATCAGCGGTCTGTTGTTAAGTTTTTCAATGACTCCATGCGTCCAGGTAAGTAGTTCCTCGTCATCCATGATCAGCTGGTGTGGTCCGGTGAGGGATTTGTTGACAGTATTCTTGATGGAACCGATTATTCTTTCCACAGCTCCAATACCGGCATGATGTTTAGGTAGAGTAACTCTGAATTCGATAGACGTGAATTCCAAATTGAGGTTGGAGATGACCTTCATCTCAGTGTTGACCAGGTCCTTGCCAGCCTTGACAACGTTCAGTCCAGCATCAATCCAGATGATGCGAGGGGTGCCTCTCAGAACGAATGTTCTATTAAAACCTCTGGTGATACTCTGGGCGCTGTAGTTGTGTAGGATTTCTAGATGCACCCCGAAACTGGAAAGACAGAGGATTACCAGGATCCATCTCTTGGTCTTGGTACCGTCTTTCTGTGCAAACACAGGTCCGAAGATGTCAGCTTGGCAGTAGGAGAAGGGGGGTTGGATGGATTTGAGGACGTCAGGGACATCAGCTTCAAATGCTGCGAATGGAATCTTGTTCAATTTGATACATCCAGGGCAAGATTTCTTTAGAGCAGTGATCATCTTACGAATCCCAGGAATGAAGAAACTGGTCTGAATATGTGCAAGTACATGGAGGACATCTCTACCGTGACCCAGATCAGCGTGAGCATCGTTCAGGATGCATTTGGCGAAAATAGTCTTCTTGCAGATGAGAGGAACCCCAATTCTGGAACGGAAGCTGTGGTCTGACACATAATATACCCCGTCCACCAGCTGGATGACAAGGTGTTTCATCTTGTTGTTGCCAATGATGAGCGCCGACTCCGTGGTAAAACACTTAAGGACTGAGGACAAGATGGAAGATTTAATAGAACTCCAGGAAGCAGTGGGTTTTCCCTGGACAATTCTTTCTCGAGTATCTGCAAACCTTGTGGAGAAGGTTTAGAGCCCGGATGACTGTGGAGAGGCTCTGTTCGTGATGTAGAAGACTCAAAATATATTCCCGGGAAGGGTTATCTGGGGATAATCGGGCAAGGTTGATCGTCCTGGTGGGAATCTCACCAGAGGTGATGGAAGAACAGGGGATGATGGGCCATGAGGACTTGTTCTGAGGTAAGAAACTACCATTCAACCAGTATTCTGAGTTGACCTGCGCACAGCTGGTTCCGGATCTGGTGAGCAGGTCAGCTGGGTTAAGGTTACCAGGACACCAGAACCAATTATTGGGTGAGGACGCAGCTAGGATTTCCATTAGTCTGACTCTGTAAAATACAGGATTTCCAGCTGGATCGTTTTTAGCGATCATTCTCAGGATGATCTCTGAGTCTCCAATGAACGTAGGAGAGGAGAGAGAGACATTGAAGAGTTCCTGATTGATCTTTTGCTCCATCCTGGAGGCGAGTAAGGCTCCAGCCATTTCAGATTGTGGAGCGGAAAAAGCAGATTTTCCCAATATCTTTGAGGAGCTGGAGATGAGGTTGAACTGATCGCCAGAGTGAGCATACACACAAGCTCCATAGCCTTGCAGGGAACCATCGAAAAAAATGAAGAGTTGAGCCTGGTATTGAAAAATGACCTGCCTGGGGAAAAATAATTCCCTGGTGAGCAGGATCTCTCTGACTGCATCTCTGAACTTAGCAGTACTTTCCTCGGACAGGATTGACTTGATAGAACACTGCGGATCGTGGCAGATCTCACTGAACAGTGCTCTGACAGAGAAAATGAGGGGGGCAGCTAATCCTGAGGGATCATAAAACTGACACGCAACGGATAGAATGTTCTTCTTGGTGACAGGGATGGATTCGTCTTCCAAGAAATCTGCGTCTAAATCCTCACCGGATGGAATTCCACGGGATTTCTTATGGAGGTTGAGGCAAAACTTCAAGCTGTATAAGTCCCTGAGTCTGTCCCACGTCATACCCCGGTACTTGCTGGTTCCATTCTCGCCGGATTTCTCCCAGGATTTAATAAAGAATCCCCCTCTGTTGAGAATTCTCTCTACTTCTTGTTGCAGGGCAGAGAGTTCACTTGGAAAGCTGGCTCCCACCCCTCCGTCGTCAATGTATGTGTCCTCCAGGATTGCTTGGAGGATGGCAGGCTGGAGGTGGGGGGGGGGGGGAATCTGTGATGAATGTTTTGACAGTTGCAACTTTGGCACAAGTTGCATAATCGCCGGACGCACTGTCGCCGAAAGGGATTGCCTGATCCCAGAAATATCTCCAGGTAGGATTAAGAGTAGGAGCGCAGGAAAAGAAGTCGGAAGGAACACACATAATTCTGAGGAATGAGTCCTTGGTAGAAGTGAGTACAGATCTGAAGAATTTCTTAAATATCATAAACTGCAAAATGAGGGTGACATCTGGAGCGTAACAAGATTCCTCTCATATTGGGAACATTTCCAGGGGCAGGTTGGGACACGTCGTTGAGGCTGAGGCCAGTTTCGGTGCGCATAGAACTGTCCGTGGTCATTCTAACTTTGGTGGACGAGCTGGTGGAAGATACAACAAAGTTGTAGGCCACAAAATGGAGTTGATACTGGTCTCTGTGGTCATCAGGGTTGATTTTGATGTAATTACCATTGTTGATTTGTTGATTGATATATTTATCCATTTCAGCTGCAATTTCAGGCTTGTTAGCAATTCTAACAGGTAGAGCATGGATTCTCTTTGTTGCACCAAAATAATTCTCGCTGAGACTGGGAAGGTTTGGTTTGTAGAGACAGTTAACCCGGACCTTTCCCTTGACAGGGTCCACAACAGTGTTGTCCATGATGGCCTGGATGTTCTTCTCTTTGGTGATCTGGAGGAGCTGCTCTCGATTGGAAGGTGTCGTAAAGTCTTCTGCAGAGGTGAGGAGGAGGAGTTGATCTTGTACATCTTGGACAGACAACACGTTGATGATCACGGTGTTGACGGTGTTGGCGAGGGGGGCCTTGGACCAGGTGATGGAGTTAGAGGGAACAGCTCCGTAGACCATGCAGTTGTTGGTGAGGGTACTGCGATAGAGGGCCATACCCAAGGGATCTCGTTCAATTTCGGTGGGGAAGGAAAGGAGATTATCCCCCCCTAGTAGGATGGACACTTGACCGTCATGATTTGACGTTGATGACCTCGTGAAAGCCCTCCACTTGGTTGGGATGGAGAAAGAGAAAGCGGAGCCGTTGTTTAAGTTCTCTTCTATAGTGGACAACCTCAGAGTTCTGCCTTGGATCCTCAGTTTAACTGTGGTGGTGAGTACAACTTTGCCTTCGCCAGCGTAGGTCATTATCTTTACTTGAGATGAACTCCCAAGGGAGTACATTGACTGAGGGATGGTTGAGAGAGCTGACTTGGAGATGAGGCTGAGTTGACAACCCGTGTCATATTGGATCCCAATTGGAGTGTTGCCCAGGAGTATGGTTTCCACTAGGGGGACAGACTTGTCGGTGCTGACCTTGGAGACAGAGATGAAGGGGGCCTGGTTGTTGTGCATGCAGGCACGCCTATGTACAGGGATTCCTTTCTCCAAGCAACCCTTGGGACACGCTTTGAGGGTACCGTTGAAGAAGGTAGGCTTGCACTTGTAGTTCTTCCCATGGGCTTGGACACATGTAAAACAGAGGTGATTGTTGGCGATCAATTTGAGGATCTCAGGTGAACTCAGTTTGCCGGCGCCGCAGGATCTGGTGAGGGAGAAATGGTTGTCTTCAAAACCCTTGATTGTACACAGTGCACAGGGTTTCAGAGGATGATTTCGCGGTTGGTCAGAAGGATGTAGAGGCTGAGGTTTAAGTTTGGAGGCTGCTTGTCTAACTACGTTGATTCCTACACTCGAGGGAGTTATGTCGAGGTTGTAGAGAAAAGGAGTGGATCGATAATTCTTCTCCAATTCGTCCACAAACTGGGCTAGGAACAAAAATGTGGCCGGAGGTCGGACATTGTCAGGACACTGTTTGCGAAATCTGGAGAACTGATCGTTGAAAGATGGTCTCACTTCCATGGGCAGGCTCTTCATGATATTCTGTACCAGAGACTGGGTGAGGGCAACGCTGTGAAGATTCTCCTTGTTGTGAAAGTTCTCCATGATGTTCAGGTTAGCCTGCAGAGTCTTGATCTTAGGTGAGAGGTCTTCGGAGATCTCCTGGACTGACTCGTAGCGAGGGAGGAGGTTGAACACTTGGTTGACGTCTCTTCCGAAGATATCAATGCTTCTGAATTCTTCAATTAACTTGGTCTTGAACGTAGGCCAGTCGATGATGTTGTTGAAGGGTCCTTGTTTGGCAAGGCGGATGGCTTGGAGAGTGAGAGCCACTTTAACAACATCTTCAGCTCGGGTTAAGTTAAACCTGTTCAAGATGTTTGACAGCCAGGGGTAGAAATCCGCAGATTTACCGCTCCAGGTCGGTGTATCAAGCTTAGGAGGTTTGAAACTAACCCGAGGTTGAAGGTTGACCTGGGAAGGGGGGGGTGGTTGGCTGCGACGGTGGTGTGAGCATTGATGATGTCCTCTGCAGTTTGATAACAGGTGGCGAGGTCGGAGTGGTCGTAGGTGATGAATTCCAGGTTGGTTTCCAGTTGGTGAATGAATTGTTTGGACAAGGCCTTAAGGGCATATATTCGGTTCTCCTTGATTGCATTTTTAAAGGCCTTGGAGAGTAGTAGGATGGGATGATTGGGTGGGGGGGGGAGAATGCAGATTTTCCCAATATCTTTGAAGAGCTGGAGATGAGATTGAACTGATCACCAGAGTGGGCATATACACAAGCTCCATAACCCTGCAGGGAGCCGTCAAAAAAATGAACAGTTGAGCCTGGTATCGGAATATGACCTGTCTGGGGAAAAATATTTCCCTGGTTTGTAAGATCTCTCTCACCGCATCTCTGAACTTAGCAGTGCGTTCCTCGGATAGGATTGAGTTGATGGAACACTGAGGATCGCGACAGATCTCACTAAACAGTGCTCGGACTGAGAACATGAGGGGATCAGCTAGTCCTGTAGGATCGTAGAATTGACAAGCAACGGATAGGACGTTTTTCTTGGTAACAGGGATGGATTCGTCCTGCAAGAAATCCGAGTCTAAATCTGCACCAGATGGAATCCCACGGGACTTCTTATGGAGGTTGAGGCGGAACTTCAGGCTGTATAAGTCTTTGAGTCTATCCCACGTCATACCCAGGTACTTGCTGGTTTCATTCTCACCAGATTTCTCCCAGGATTTAATAAAGAATCCCCCTCTGTTGAGGATTCTTTCTATCTCTTGTTGCAGTGTAGAGAGGTCACTTGGAGAGTTGGCTCCCACACCTCCGTCATCAATATATGTGTCCTCCAAGACAGCCTGTAGGATGGCAGGTCGGAGGTGGAGGGGGGAATCCTCGATGAATGTCTTGACAGTTGCAACTTTTGCACAAGTTGCATAATCACCGGACGCACTGTCGCCGAAAGGGATCGCCTGATCTCGGAAATATCTCCAGGTAGGGTTAGGAGTAGGAGCGCTGGAAAAGAAACCTGATGGAACACACACTATCCTGAGGAAGGAGTCTTTGGTAGAAGTGAGCACGGACCTGAAGAACTTCTGAATGTCATAAACTGCAAAGTGAGGGTGACATCTGGAGCGTAACAAGATTCTCCATGATGGCCTGGATGTTCTTCTCCTTGGTGATCTTGAGGAGCTGTTCTCGATTGGAAGGTGTTGTGAAATCTTCTGCAGAGGTGAGGAGGAGGAGTTGATCTTGTACATCCTGAACAGACAAAGCGTTGATGATGACAGTGTTGACGGTGTTGGCCAGGGGAGCCTCGGACCAGGTGATGGAGTTGGAA